TCTCTCTCTCTCTCTCTCTCTCTCTCTCTCTCTCTCTCTCTCTCTCTCTCTCTTTAAATAAAAAAGAAAATTCCATGTGGAAAATCCTTATTTTCCTTTAGTTTGTCCTCCAAAGGCTGTAATGTGGTCCCATCTGATGATGGTTTTGTGACAAAAATGAGTTTGAGCCAGGTACTGTGGCAAAAACCTGTCATCTCAAAGATTTGGGAGGCAGAGGCAGGAGGATCACAAGTTCCAGGCCAGCCTCAGCAACTTAGCAAAATAAACTATCTCAAAATAAAGTAGGTTGGCAATATAGTTCAGGGTAAAGCACTCAAGGATTTTCTCCCCAGCACAAAATAAAGACAAAGTGAGTTTGAGCACTAAATTTTCACTTAACAAAATCAAACATCATGTTCATCTGGAACTTATTTTAGAAGTGAATAAAAAGGCTGATTTTTTTTTCACTTGCTATAAGAATTGACTTTATGGCTGTTCATTTTACTTGGACTATAGGTGAAGAGATTAGATAACTTTTCTTTTTTTGTCTGAGGATCAGTGATGGTCTATGTGAAAGAATGAAATTTAAGTGAAAGAGTTAGGGGAAGACTTCAGAACATATGTCCCTGCTAAAACATCCCACAATTAAATCATGAATTCTGCCTTGTGAATATCCAGAGAAATTTAGCTTCATGCAAAATAACCCGTTAACCAGCCTTGATCACAGTGAGAAGAAAAATTAATTTGGGACACGTAATAATAGCAGAAGATTAGCCATAAATTAAGAATGTATGAGAGCTGCCTTCGATCAGGCCAAAAAAACAAAGTTTGTCCAACCCCCCCCCCTTCCAGGCTAAAAATAATGTGGTTTCCATAAATAGCAGTGCTAGTGATCATTACAACCATGACATGAACTAAAAAAAGAGAGAACACATTGGGCACAGCTTGAAAATAAAGTCTATCAGAAATTAGCACTTCTTTTCAGTAGAAAGTATTTCTTTTAAGTCCATTTCCTCTGTGTTAGTTTGAAGTCATTATTCAAAATTTTAGCAATGAAGCAAAAGAGAATCAAGTAATGCACTCAGTGGCAGAGAACTGGGGGATTCTGAGCCCTGTCCTGGCTTTTAGGTCCCAGTGTGTCATGACAGAGCCTTTCCTAGGGAGGGCCTGACATTCATAGAGACAAAGGTGATTGAGTGGAGTCCTATGTGCCAGATTTAGAGATTAGAGAAATAAGCTTGGCCACATCTCTTTCTAATACCAACAGCATGTCCTGCTGCAGCTGTTGGAAAGACAGAATACTGGCGGGAATCTCTGACAACGCTGTAAACAACATTTCTCATTCCATTTCTTGACAATAGTTTTATGTCCATTTAAACTCAGTGTAAATCAGAGTTAAAAGTAGATGCTAACCATGCAAATCATGATAATTAAATGATATTCTAATAAGCAAAGTAAAATGAAATGTAGTTGATCCATTTCATTTGAAGTAATTGATCTTTATTTCTCCAGTTATTCTCAAGACAATAGACTGAATCAAACATAACTTTCCTGTGTGCATATATGAATACATGAATAGTGAAACTCCAAATCATGTACAACCACAAGAATGGGAAGTTGTACTCCACGTATGTATAATATATCAAAATACGTTCTACCATCATGTATGTCATGTAAACCTAAAAAGAATAATAACAACAACAACAACAAAAAAAAAAAACTGCAGGTAAAAAATACCTAGTAATTCAAGGCTTACATTTAGGATTTAATTTATT